AGAGTCAATGAGTCGATGCAATCAGCTGGTTTTCCTTAGATAGAAAACTTTGAATCAATCTGACTGGATGATCTGGTTGATCTGGAAAGTGCCTTGAGATGACATGCTGTGAATTGGAGCTATAGAAATAAATAAATAAAATTGAATTGGCATTATTTTGAATTGGCTGAAGATAAAAGTTTTATCTTATTTCTTGACTTAGTTTACAAAAGCTTTTGTTTCTATCAAGCACAACTTCTTAAATCTAGCTAAAGAATTTGGGCAAACAGGAAGAAGCAACGTTTAGTTTTGATGCTCCACTAATATGAAACAGAAAGCTATAAAAGTGCTAAACTACTAAAATAATTTAAATCCTGGTTAAAACCAATGCTATTAAAGTGATCTTTTACTATGTCGTCTAAACTGTTAAATGAAACATTGTTTTAAGTTTTTATTCCAGTCATTTTTGCTTGTCTTTAACATTCCCAGTAAAGTGGGTTTGTCTTTGTCTGTTTTATTTTCTTATGTTTTGTTCATGTTCAGAACCTTGAACTGTCTTGAAAAACTTGTCCTGCATTGCATGCCTGGTGGAAAATTACCAAACCAAATTAGGTAATCACTTCTGAAACAAATAAAAACATATACAAACATTAAAACATTTAAACACAATTATTCTAGAACAGAAAGAACCAAATCATTGGACATTACTGCCTTCTGTTTAGATTGATCAGCAGTTTTAGGTTTAATTCCTTTGTGTTTTAGTCACTTTCTCTATTGTAATTTGAAGTTATAACTAATTAATTATTACTGGGCAAGTTTTACTAATGTTACATTTAAGCTGTCTGTAATCAGGGATACTTCATAGGGCCCACCCAGATAATGTTGCTCACACGCATATTGTTGTGTCGTTACGCCATTGGATGCTGCATTTATTTGGATTTATTTTCATACTTTATGTTGTAGTAAGATGATGCTTTTTATAGTTTGTGTTTGTTCCTCTCAGGAGCATTTTATTGGAACGATTCCCTGGATTCACACAATCTTGTTGGTAACTCGTTATATCTGTGTGAACAAACAACCAGAAATGCAAACAGGTGAAGCTCAGGTGACGAGCAGACAGTGAGACGACAGGTGATCAGGTGAGTTTTTTGAAAATTTGGACTTGAGTTCAGATCATTATTTTAAGAAAAAGATTATAAAAACATGCCTTTCTTTAGATCTGATCCAGCTCTGTGGTACAATCAATCAGTCATCTTAAAATCTGAATCACTTTGTTAAAACTTTGAAGGAAAATACTCCAAAGACTTCATGGCAGCAGAAGTTATGATGTGATAAAGAGTGTATAATAAATTATAAATCCTTTTCTTTCTTTTTCACTCTTTTAATTTCCAGTTATATTAATTCATGAACTTATATAGTATTTGCTAGGTTTTTAATCCTCATTT